ATCCTAAAATACTTGATTTTTGACCATTATTCTTGCTATACCACACGAAAATAGTATAAATAAAAATAAATAATTGGCTGAATGTTGAACTATCTAACCTAAAATTATTTTCATCTTTTGTAGACTTTGGCCTCACAGAATCGTAGAGAACAACTTTCAAACTTACAACCCAAGCTAAAATTAACTTAATCGCAGTTATTTTAATAACAAATAAGAGAAATAAACCTACAAGAAAAAGTCATAATTGTGTTATTAATTATGAAGTAACTATTAAAAAAATCTAAAGATTGTGATGCCAAAAGTTACTTTAAATCAAATAATGGCTTTCATCCATAGAAACTTTTGGCCTCATAATTACATGACGAATAACTTTCGGACTCATGTGCTAACATACATTAAAGTACAAGGTACATAAATAAATCTAAAATCGGAAACCCAAAATTTGGTCAAATCGAGGCAGTAAAATTCATGTGAATCAATATTCGGTGCTATATATTCAGGCACACCCCCAAGTGTAAAGATTCAGATTTTTTCCATAATACGAAATATTTTGTATGAAGTTAAAACAAAATTAGACTGTGAATGGTAGAAGTATCTGTAGACGCATTCATAAAAATATTTTTTATTCAAAGTTAAAGTGATAATTTACATTTTTTAAATACTTGCTACTTAGCCAAATATAAAGGACGACAGGTCCAAAGTTGCTATTAATGAGCCAATTATTTTGATATGTTTGTTTCCATATTAGCGTGGGTATAAAGTTGGGTTAGGTAGTTCTGCAATCAACCAATTATTTATTTTTATTTATACTATTTTGGTGATACCAGTTTCAGGGTTCATCCCCTTCCTCAGCCACCTCGTCAGTAAACCTATAACACTTTAAAAAAGTCAATATTTGGTTAAATTTTTAGACTTATTAGTGTTAATATTATCAGGAATTTGATCTGCCGTTTTTTGAGCCTAAAATACTTGATTGTTGACCATTATTCTTGCTATACCACACGAAAATAGTATAAATAAAAATAAATAATTGGCAGAGTGTTGAACTATCTAACCTAAAATTATTTTCATCTTTTGTAGACTTTGGCCTCACAGAATCGTAGAAAACAACTTTCAAACTTACAACCCAAGCTAAAATTAACTTAATAGCAGTTATTTTAATAACAAATAAGAGAAATAAACCTACAAGAAAAAGTCATAATTGTGTTATTAATTATGAAGTAACTATTAAAAAAATCTAAAGATTGTGATGCCAAAAGTTACTTTAAATCAAATAATGGCTTTCATCCATAGAAACTTTTGGCCTCATAATTACATGACGAATAACTTTCGGACTCATGTGCTAACATACATTAAAGTACAAGGTACATGAATAAATCTAAAATCGGAAACCCAAAATTTGGTCAAATCGAGGCAGTAAAATTCATGTGAATCAATATTCGGTGCTATATATTCAGGCACACCCCCAAGTGTAAAGATTCAGATTTTTTCCATAAAACCAAACATTTTGTATGAAGTTAAAACAAAATTACGACTGTGAATGGTAGAAGTATCTGTAGACGCATTCATAAAAATATTTTTTATTCAAAGTTAAAGAGATAATTTAAATTTTTTTAAATACTTGCTACTTAGCCAAATATAAAGGACGACAGGTCCAAAGTTGCTATAAATGAGCTAATTATTTTGACATGTTTGTTTCCATATTAGCGTGGGTATAAATTTGGGTTAGGTAGAGTTCTGCAATCAACCAATTATTTATTTTTATTTATACTACTTTTGGTGATACCAGTTTCAGGGTTCATCCCCTTCCTCAGCCACCTCGTCAGTAAACCTATAACACTTTAAAAAAGTCAATATTTGGTTAAATTTTTAGACTTATTAGTGTTAATATTATCAGGAATTTGATCTGCCGTTTTTTGAGCCTAAAATCCTTGATTGTTGACCATTATTATTGCTATATCACACCAAAATAGTATAAATAAAAATAAATAATTGGCAGAGTGGTGAACTATCTAGCCTAAAATTATTTTCATCTTTTGTACAATTCGGCCTCACAGAATCGTAGAAAACAACTTTCAAACTTACAACCCAAGCTGAAATTAATTTAACAGCAGTTATTTTAGTAACAAATAAGAGAAATAAACCTACGAGAAAAAGTCATAATTGTATTATTAATTGTGAAGTAACTATTAAAAAAAATCTAAAGATTATGATGCCAAAAGTTACTTTAAATCAAATAATGGCTTTCATCCATAGAAACTTTTGGCCTCATAATTACATGACGAATAACTTTCGGACTCATGTGCTAACATACATTAAAGTACAAGGTACATGAATAAATCTAAAATCGGAAACCCAAAATTTGGTCAAATCGAGGTAGTAAAATTCATGTGAATCAATATTCGGTGCTATATATTCAGGCACACCCCCAAGTGTAAATATTCAGATTTTTTCCATAATACGAAACATTTTGTATGAAGTTAAGACAAAATTAGACTGTTAATGGTAGAAGAATCTGCAGACGCATTCATAAAAATATTTTTTATTCAAAGTTAAAGTGATAATTTACAATTTTTAAATACTTGCTACTTAGCCAAATATAAAGGACGACAGGTCCAAAGTTGCTATTAATGAGCCAATTATTTTGATATGTGTGTTTCCATATTAGCGTGGGTATAAAGTTGGGTTAGGTAGTTCTGCAATCAACCAATTATTTATTTTTATTTATACTATTTTGGTGATACCAGTTTCAGGGTTCATCCCCTTTCTCAGCCACCTCGTCAGTAGACTTATAACACATTAAAAATGTCAATATTTGGTTAGATTTTTAGACTTATTAGTGTTAATATTATCTGGAAATTGATGTGCCGTTTTTTGATCCTAAAATACTTGATTTTTGACCATTATTCTTGCTATACCACACTAAAATAATATAAATAAAAATAAATAATTGGCTGAATGTTGAACTATCTAACCTAAAATTATTTTCATCTTTTGTAGACTTTGGCCTCACAGAATCGTAGAGAACAACTTTCAAACTTACAACCCAAGCTAAAATTAACTTAATCGCAGTTATTTTAATAACAAATAAGAGAAATAAACCTACAAGAAAAAGTCATAATTGTGTTATTAATTATGAAGTAACTATTAAAAAAATCTAAAGATTGTGATGCCAAAAGTTACTTTAAATCAAATAATGGCTTTCATCCATAGAAACTTTTGGCCTCATAATTACATGACGAATAACTTTCGGACTCATGTGCTAACACACATTAAAGTACAAGGTACATGAATAAATCTAAAATCGGAAACCCAAAATTTGGTCAAATCGAGGCAGTAAAATTCATGTGAATCAATATTCGGTGCTATATATTCAGGCACACCCCCAAGTGTAAAGATTCAGATTTTTTCCATAATACGAAACATTTTGTATGCAGTTAAGACAAAATTAGACTGTGAATGGTAGAAGAATCTGTAGACGCATTCATAAAAATATTTTTTTATTTAAAGTTAAAGTGATAATTTAAATTTTTTAAGTACTTGCTACTTAGACAAATATAAAATACGAGAGTTCGAAAGTTGCTATAAATGAGCTAATTATTTTGATATGTGTGTTTCCATATTAGCGTGGGTATAAAGTTGGTTTATGTAGTTCTGCAATCAACCAATTATTTATTTTTATTTATACTATTTTGGTGATAGCAGTTTCAGGGTTCATCCCCTTTCTCAGCCACCTCGTCAGTAAACTTATAACACTTTAAAAAAGTCAATATTTGGTTAGATTTTTAGACTTATTAGTGTTAATATTATCTGGAAAATGATGTGCCGTTTTTTGATCCTAAAATACTTGATTTTTGACCATTATTCTTGCTATACCACACGAAAATAGTATAAATAAAAATAAATAATTGGCTGAATGTTGAACTATCTAACCTAAAATTATTTTCATCTTTTGTAGACTTTGGCCTCACAGAATCGTAGAGAACAACTTTCAAACTTACAACCCAAGCTAAAATTAACTTAATAGCAGTTATTTTAATGACAAATAAGAGAAATAAACCTACAAGAAAAAGTCATAATTGTGTTATTAATTGTGAAGTAACGATTAAAAAAATCTAATGATTGTGATGCCAAAAGTTACTTTAAATCAAATAATGGCAATCATCCATAGAAACTTTTGGCCTCATAATTACATGACGAATAACTTTCGGACTCATGTGCTAACATACAGTAAAGTACAAGGTACATGAATAAATCTAAAATCGGAGACCCAAAATTTGGACAAATCGAGGCAGTAAAATTCATGTGAATCAATATTCGGTGCTATATAATCAGGCACACCCCCAAGTGTAAAGATTCAGATTTTTTCAATAATACGAAACATTTTGTATGAAGTTAAGACAAAATTAGACTGTGAATGGTAGAAGTATCTGTAGACTCATTCATAAAAATATTTTTTTATTCAAAGTTAAAGTGATAATTTAAATTTTTTAAGTAGTATAAATAAAAACAAATAATTGGCTGAATGTTTAACCATCTAACCTAAAATTACTTTCTTCTTTTGTAGACTTTGGCCTCACAGAATCGTAGAAAACAACTTTCAAACTTACAACCCAAGCTAAAATTAACTTAATAGCAGTTATTTTAATAACAGATAAGAGAAATAAACCTAAAAGAAAAAGTCATAATTGTGTTATTAATTGTGAAGTAACTATTAAAAAAATCTAAAGATTGTGATGCCAAAAGTTACTTTAAATCAAATAATGGCTTTCATCCATAGAAACTTTTGGCCTCATAATTTCGGACTCATGTGCTAACATATCTTAAAGTACTAGGAACATGATTAAATCTAAAATCGGAAACCCAAAATTTGGTCAAATCGAGGCAGTAAAATTCATGTGAATCAATATTCGGTGCTATATATTCAGGCACACCCCCAAGTGTAAAGATTCAGATTTTTTCCATAAGACGAAACATTTTCAATGAGGTTAAGACAAATATTGGTGGATTGAGAAATAAATCTAAGAAATAAATTCATAATGATGTTGTTAAGTGTAAAATACCTATGAAAAAAGATCTAAAGACTGTGATGCCAAAAGTTACTTTAAGTCAAATAATAGTTTTCATCCATAGCAACATTTAGCCTCATAATTGCATGTTAGGTAACTTTCGGACTCGTGCGCTTCGTATATGTGAAAACAGGTAATTAACCCATCATTCCGGGCACAATTTTGTTTTTGGAACGAAGTACTAGATTAATAAATTTAAAATTGGAAACCCGAAATTTCAACACAAGCCGGTGAAATTCATGAGGTGTATTATTTCACGATATGGATTCGTAAAATTTAAGGCACAATCTCAACATTCAAATTGTAATTGATAGACTCCGGCTTTATCTAGTTAAGTAATTTTATCTTTGTTGTTCAGTAACTGATTTCTGGTTGAATTAATTTTTATAAATGAAATATTAACATTTTTATTCACTCTATTTAGTATGTTTTTAATTTTGTAAGATAATGTTTCAATAAAATCCAGAAAATAATATCTACCTATGTCTTCCTTAGTATCATGGTCCGTTTTGAACAACGAGCAACATTGTTTTTTTTTTAATTTTGTATCTTATTTTGTCAATTAGATTGTGGATTAATTTTACTTTAAAGTCATTATTTATTGCAATTTGTTTTATGGACTGAAGTTCTTTATTATAGTTTTCATGGTTTAGATTAGAATTGAACAATATTTCAATTAAAGATGCAAAAGTTGATATTTTATGAATCCATAGGTGGTTGGAAGAATTGCAAATAATGTTGTCTGTGTATGTTTTATTGGCCCAATATCTTACAAAATTAAAAACATTCTTGGAGAAATATTAAACACGAGAGGCCAAAAGTTGCTATAAACGAAGTCATTCTTTTCATCTTTAGTACACTTTGACCCCATATGGATTCATACAAAACAACTTTCAGGCTCACAGTCCAAGGGGACATTAAATTAGTAACCCTTGTTTTAAGAATACCAAATCGTCTTTCAAATATCGGCGGATTGAGAAATTAATAAATCAAAGGGACAGATTTATAATTATGTTGTTTACTGTGGAGTATCTACGAAAAAAATCCAAAGACTGTGATTCCAAAAGTTAATTTAAATCAAATAATAGTTTTTATCCATAGCAACATTTGGGTTCATAATTACTGCTCCATTAAAATATTAAACTGGTTTTTCAAATTTCGCTTGTTTCTTGGATAAAATAATATAAAATACGAGAGGCCAAAAATTGCTACAAATGTAATTAATGATTATAAAAGAGTATAAGTAATTATTTTCATCTTTAGTACACTTTTGTCACACAAATTCATACAAAACAACTTTCAGGTTCACAACTCAAGCTAAAGTTAAATTAATTGTCGTTGTTTTAAGATTATCAAATTGTGATTCAAATACCGGAAGAAAGAAAAACAAATCTAAGAAACAATTTCATGGTGATACTATTAACTGTAAAGTACCCATGAAAAAAATCTAAAGAATGCGATATCAAAAGTTACTTTATATCAAATAATACATTTCATGCATAGTAACATTTGATCTTATAATTACATGTTTCGGAATAATGAGCTTCATATCTATCATTTCAAGTACAATTTTTGTTTTTGGAAATGAAATTCCAAGTGATTAGAAAATAAAACAGAAGCTCAAAAATGTATGGAAACGATGCATGACGTTCCAAGATATTAATTCCTAAAATTTAAAGCACACCCTTAAGCAAATATCCAGATTGGCTCCATAAGTAGAAAAATAATTTAAGAGATTAACAAAAACTTGTACTGCTAATTGTAGAAGTGCCTGTACACACAACCATAAAAGTAAATTTCTTACTCCAACTTAAACTGGTATTTTAAAATTGACATGTACGCCTTTCTTGGAGAAATATAAAAAGAGAGGTTAAAAGCTGCTAAAAAATAGTAATGTTTCTTTTTTCGAAATCGCGCAGTAATGTGCTTTTTCTATGTTCAAAAATCGGCACAGAAATTAAATGCGGTGTTGTCATATTAGTATTATCTACCTCCACAATTACATTTTACAAGGTTATAAATTGTTTTTCGGTTTAGCAGTAATTCTATACTCTTTGATAACCCTTTTTATTAGTTATTAGAAACACATCCGGTTTATTAATTTTATAAATATAATTTATTAACTAAATTTGCGCGTAATCTCGCAACGTCGCAACCTTGCATGGCAACAGCGGATTTCTTGAAGTGCAGCGACATTCTATGGCAGCGAACAATGTGTATCCACATAACCTGTAATAAGTTTTTGTTCGGTGCAGAAACAACCATGGAAAACATTATATGGAGAATATCTCATTTTGCATACGAGTATTTCGCTGAAAAAGAAAATTCTGTGAAATCAACATTTTGGGCTACATAGTCGTTGTTAAAGTCAACTCTGTTAATATAAAACAGCATAGATATAATCTAAGTACACCAAGTTCTCAAGCAAAAAATATAGGTTATGTTTCCCAGAAATCAAATATATTTACAAGAGAAAACTTACGAAAATTTTTAACAGAGTCCCGTGATTAATGTACCTAATGTCAAAGGTAATCTCAAAGAAGGTCAATCACATTGTCTATAAAACATAATGTTTTAGGTATATTTTTTATTCGAAGTTGTAGGAGTATGCGGAAAGGAAGAATTTGAACAATTTTCTTGTATCTACATAACCTATAATAAGCTTTTATTATTATTACAGAACAGATTATTAGCTTACATGCCCATTTTAAATGAAAGTATGAAGCATACCTCTTATTTTTCGGCACTTTTAATATTTTTGCTTGCAGAAAGATCTGCAGCAATTGCAAAATAGAGATGGATAGCAATAATAACAAGCAGTTTACATGCATTCGACCGAACTTGCAAAAACTGGCAGATAATATATCAAATTTATTACCTAAAAACTCAGCCACAGTTTATGAAAAGCGGTATGAATTTTTTTTTTTTTTGCGCAGAAACAACCATGCAAAATATATGGAGAACACCTCATTGCATACGAGTATTTCGCTGAAAAAGCAAATTCTGTGAAATCTTTAACACTTTGGGCTGCATAGTCGTAGTTAAAGTCAACTCTGTTAATAAAAAACAGCATAGATATATCTAAGTACACCAAGTTTTCAAGCAAAAAATATAGGTTACATTGCCAAGAAATCAAATATATTTACAAGAGAAGACTTACCAAAATTTTTAACAGAAGCCCGTGATTAAATGTACACGATGTTAAAGGTGATCTCAAACAAGGTCAATCACATTGTCTATAAATCATTATGTTTTAGGTTTATTTTTTATTAGAAGTTGTAGGAGCATGTGGAATGGATAAATTGAAAAATAATGACGGCATTCAAGACAAAAACGATACGCTAATAATTAAAATTCCAACGTCTAAAACTGGCAAAGCACGAGAATTTACAAATATGTGTAAAAATATTTATCCAATTGAAATATAGTAAAAATACCTAATTTTAAGACCGCACCATACACCAGACAAATCATTATTTATACATTACATTTGGATAGTGAATGCAGCAGCTGCTGCATTGTACAAATATACCTGCAAACACACTGTAACAAATTATGCAGACACCTCTTTTGACTAAAAGATATATATTTAACTTTATCCATACGTTGTCAACTTTGTTAATAATTGCAATCTCTAACTTCAAAAGAAATATGAATAATCTACTTTGGTGTTTTATAGTAGTATTAAATGTTCATAGAATATAATTGCACTTACTACGAAGTAAGCTTTCCTAGTTTTAAGTTGTTTTCTTTTCTCTTTGATTATCTTAATTTCTTCAGCCTCTATGTGGCTGTTTTAATTCCAAAAAATTGTTTCTGAATAAACTGATTCATACCACTTTTTCTTTCTTTTACTCGAAAACAGTTTAAACTATAACTCCAAATATTTACCTACTTTACAACGTGTCAAGCATTCGGTTGTTGTAAATGATGCAACCATAAATACAAATTTGAACACTGATATGACAGGTTTGAGGCTAGGATGTGGTTTTCATATACTCCCATTACTTGTTGCCTAAATCTGGCGCGAGGCCAAAAGTTATTATTGACGTATATATATATATATATAAACTTTGCTCGTTTAATAGTATGTATAAGATATGCAGAGATATGCAGTTGCATATCCTCCAAAAATTGAAAAGAAGTGTAATAACACAACTAAATTTATTTACAAATTATAAAAACAGGTTTATCAAGCTTATTTTTTTTAATAAAAAATACATAGATAAATAAAATTTTTAAAAATTATTGTCTTACACTAAATAGTGACAAATAAATAAAAATTAATAATAATAGGCCATTTAATTAGTATTTTTGTATCAATTTATTTTTAAATACTTTTCTAAATATTGTAGCAAAAAATTTTGCCGATGATCCGAAAACATATATTTGTAAATAGAAATGCGGTTTGTAGCAGAAGAGCTACAAAACACAGTGCCTTCTTGAAGAATAAATTCAGGAAAAGACCAGTACAGGGCACGATTGATAAAACCGTTAATTGTTAATTTAGAAGAGTCGAGTGATGATGACAGTGACTATTTCGATCAATAAATAAGCAGTAGTAGTTAATAAGTAAACAGTTGTGTATGTCAAAATTCTAACTAATTTGCTGTAATAAAAAATGATTGAGTACAAAGTTACTTTGTTTTTACTTAAAATAAAAAAATCGAAAGGCGCAGTTATCGGTAAATACAAAACTCAGTCCTGCCCTGTGCTTTTACCAGAAAAGGTCTTTTCTATCGGTGAGCGGGTTTAAAACATCCGGTTGTGACGGCCTATTGAATTATAATGGGAGTCAAATTGGTGTGAAGTCATAAACGCCTTATATGTTTGAGGGAACTCTACCTCCGGCATATGGAACAGACGACCTGACCTCCGGGTTACCCCCTTCGTCTATCGTCATATATGTGATATATTTGGAATGAGGGGAACCCCTACAATTCGAATCTCAAAAGAGGGGAAACGATTTCTAGTATTTTAAAAGGTCATATATAACATATATAATAATAAAAAAAAAAAAAAAAAAAAAAAAAAAAAAAAGTGACCTTTGGTTGTTCGTAAATTTCTTAAGAAGGCGGAATCTTTGGATAAAACTCGATTCAATACCTTTATTTGACTCAAAAGGACTCATAATAGTGCAAGGTACTGTATTTACTATTAAAACCACATATTTAACTCGATATTTGCACTTAATTTCCTTTTTTCATAATCAACTGTCAACGCTGACATTTCCAACTAAAAAATGAGTCTAAACCAAATTGTTTCGCCTACAACGGAGAATGTTCAACTCGAAATCCGACGAACACCTATTACTGCAGTCTCCGAAGAGGTCGATGGAGCAAGTGGCATCACCTCGGGAAACACTACCACAAGGACAATTAACAACGTATTAGTCTCTAATGTTTCTCAGACAAATCAGCCTCAGACCATTAGAAGACGAGAAGAACCAAAAAAGTGTAAAAAATGGTCTCTAGACATGAATTTACATATTATGCGCTTATATTATAAAATTACAAACAATGAAACTGATGTAAGTAATTATCGTACAGCTCTACACGAAGCCTTTAGCCGTGAGTACCCAAATTTTCCAGTTACCATTCAAAATTTAGCAGATCAACGTAGAGCTATAGTTAAAAATAACTACATACCTCAACTTACTCTAGAACAATTAAAAAATGAACTTTCTAAAACCATTAATCCACTACCTGAAGATATCAACAACACAGTACCAAATACATTACTGACTGACACATCTGTCACCAATTTGTCAAAAACAACATCTCAAAATAAGATCCCAATTATACCACAAAATAGTAATAGTAGTATATTAAATACACCAGAGACACGAACTGACAGATTTACTAAAGATTTATTAAACAAAACACCTCATAATAAGATCACAACCGTAACACAAATTACCAACACATTAACTGACAAATCACTTAACAATTCATCAAGAACAATCCAAAACCAAATTAACATCACAGATAATCTACAAAACACGTACTACAACACAGAAGACACATTAATCAAAACTGTAAACAAAAATTTTAAATTTCACATTAATTTCCAAAATGAAATTGAAGACCAATTTAAATTAACTTTCGAAACATGTTCTAAATTAAAACCAAATGATAGACAATCACTTCCCCGCCAGTTTTATTCTAAAAAGTTTCTGGCAATTGTAGAAATAATGAACTCCTTCATTTTACCAAAATATCTCACAAACTCGATCTCTTTTGAAAAACTTCATACAATTATCTACTGTGCAGCTTTAACTTGTATTCAAATTAACACATGTAAAAATAACATAATAAATACAAACAACAATCGCATACCCTCCACCCCTCATTGGGAAACACGGTTAAATTATAAAATTAATAACATTAGAAAACAACTGGGTCAAATAACACAGTACCTTAGAGGAGTTAAAACACCACACATCATGACATGTATGCATTTGATACTGACCAACAATAATTTTCATCAAACTGATTACGATGAGTACAACACAACACTATCCGAAATTAAAGATACACTATTACAAAAGCTTTCCTTATATAGCAAAAGACTTAAAAGATACAAACAATCACATCTCAGAAAAATTCATAACACTAAATTTTTAAACAACGAAAAACTATTCTATCAACATTTAACTAATTCAAGCAAAACTCAATTATCCGGTGAACTACCAAGTTCACAAGATGTAACAACATTTTGGTCAAAACTTTGGTCTCAAGAATTTGAATTTAACAAATCTGCCAAATGGATTCCTCATATATATCCCTGTTAAAAATGCCCAATCAAATCCAATCTAAATTATTTTGGGATCGCCCAATATAAATTAAATTGGGTACGCCCAATCAAATCCAATCTGCGAGTAGTCCGCACGCCAATCGGACAAAGACGGTAAAAAAAGGCCACCACAATGGTCACGTGGTACGCAAGCAAACATATTATCACTATTATAGCGAACAATAAAACTTTTTTAAAAAACAACCCTTTTACGCGGGTTTAAGTGTTAATATTATCCGAGAGGAGTATATTTTTGGGAAAAAATTCTGTGTTCGACACGATAAGATTTATGACGATAAGCGTAATCAAAAAAATTGCATAAATATTTTCCTGCGTATTAGCAACCCCCATAAGGAGGTCGACGAAGAACGTAACCACCCACTTCGATCAGAAGTCGTAAAGAAACACATTACGCAACCATTATGCATCCTACGGCAACGATACGGACCGTAGGTGCCTCAATATTACGTTTAAACGACGGTCACAGTGTCGCCCAATCTGGCCCAATCAAATACAATCCCAAATTGGGGGCGCCCAATCTCGCCCAATCTGCGAATAATTCGCACGCCAATCGCAGAAAGCAGGTAAAAAATGACCACCACAATGGTCACGTGGTACGCAAGCAAACATATTATCACTATTATAGCGAACAATAAACCTTTTTTAAAAAACAACCCTTTTACGCGGGTTTAAGTGTTAATACTGTCCGACCGGAGTATATTTTTAGGAAAAAATTCTGTGTTCGACACGATAACGTTTACAGCGATAAGCATACCAAAAAAAAATGCATAAATATTGTCTGCGTATTAGCAACCCCCATAAGGGGGTCGACGGAGAACGTAACCACCCACTTCGATGAGAAGTCGTAAAGAAACACATTACGCAACCATTTTGCATCCTACGGCAACGATACGGACCGTAGGTGCCTCAATATTACGTTTAAACGACGGTCACAGTGTCGCCCAATCTGGCCCAATCAAATCCAATCCCAAATTGGGGGCGCCCAATCAAATCCAATCTGCGAATAATTCGCACGCCAATCGCACAAAGAAGATAAAAAATGACCACCACAATGGTCACGTGGTACGCAAGCAAACATATTATCACCATCATAGCGAACAATAAAACTTTTTTAAAAAACAACCCTTTTACGCGGGTTTAAGTGTTAATACTGTCCGACCGGAGTATATTTTTGGGAAAAAATTCTGTGTTCGACACGGTAAGATTTATGACGATAAGCATAATCAAAAAAATGGCATAAATATTTTCCTGCGTATTAGCAACCCCCATAAGGGAGTCGACGGAGAACGTAACCACCCACTTCGATGAGAAGTCGTAAAGAAACACATTACGCAACCATTTTGCATCCTACGGCAACGATACGGACCGCACGTGCCTCAATATTACGTTTAAACGACGGTCACAGTGTCGCCCAATCTGGCCCAATCAAATCCAATCCCAAATTGGGGGCGCCCAATCAAATCCAATCTGCGAATAATTCGCACGCCAATCGTACAAAGAAGGTAAAAATTGACCACCACAATGGTCACGTGGTACGCAAGCAAACATATTATCACTATTATAGCGAACAATAAAACTTTTTTAAAAAACAACCCTTTTACGCGGGTTTAAGTGTTAATACTGTCCGACCGGAGTATATTTTTGGGAAAAAATTCTGTGTTCGACACGGTAAGATTTATGACGATAAGCATAATCAAAAAAATTGCATAAATATTTTCCTGCGTATTAGCAACCCCCATAAGGGAGTCGACGGAGAACGTAACCACCCACTTCGATGAGAAGTCGTAAAGAAACACATTACGGAACCATTTTGCATCCTACGGCAACGATACGGACCGTAGGTGCCTCAATTTCACGTTTAAACGACGGTCACAGTGTCGCCCAATCTGGCCCAATCAAATCCAATCCCAAATTGGGGGCGCCCAATCAAATCCAATCTGCGAATAATTCGCACGCCAATCGCACAAAGAAGGTAAAAAATGACCACCACAATGGTCACGTGGTACGCAAGCAAACATATTA